AGAGGAAGGAGAGGTTAGGGTGGGAATAGCAACCCATGTGCAGTGAGAGGACTTCCCATGCTGCCTGCCTTCTCTGCAGCATTGATATGGGTCATTTATCTACTCGTCCCTGTCCTCTGTGCCCCAGGAGAGGAGCCAAGCACAGGGGCTGTAAAAATAAATCAGTCTTGGCTATGGAAGGGCAGGTGCAAGGGGAGAAGCTATTTTTAACCCCTATTCCACAAAAGGGGAATGCCGGGACTCCTCCGAGCGGGGCTTCCCTGTGTTTAGATGTATTTGGAGGCAGTGGAGGGGTCCGGCTAGTGGTTAATCCTGGTGCTAGGAGCTCAGGGCCAGGGAAGGGACATCAAAGCATTCCTGCATCTGCTGGGGAAGCAGAGAGGCAGACAGTGGCTCTGCTCCCTGCATGGCTGCGGGGGATACAGGCGGCACAGATGTGATGCTTGCAGCTCTCCAAGACCTGGGAAAGCTGTTGAGATGTCTGAGCAAAGTCCTGGGGATGGATCTTCCCACTTACCTGTTGGGTTTCCATCCTGTGGCAAGCAAAAGCCAGGCAAAACATGAGGAGAGGAAGTGGGGATATAACATGGAATATAACACGACCCCAAGGGGACCCATTGCTGCCACCAGACAGAGAAGGTGTGCATGACTTTCTTCCATGGCAGCTAGACCCAGACAAGTACCCTGCAGGCTTTGCACTTTGTTTCCTCTCTAATCAGCAGAGAGAAAGGGCAGCTTCCACGTGTGTGGAGCAAACCAACTTCTGCAGGTATCTCCCCATCCCTTATATTCACTCTGACACAAGCATGGGGCAGTCACCTCCCTAAATTAAGAGGTACGGTAGGATAACTCCTTGGTGTGCCTACATTAGTTGCACTGGAAACAGGTCATTTCAATCTGTTTCTGCTGAGACTGTTTTCATGCTTTAGGACCCTTCCAACCACCTATGGCACCACGGTGTTAAGCAAAGTCCTTGGCAAGAAGATGGAGGGCAACCACCTTAAAGAGCTTTGGCAGCATCCTACCAGCTGAAGGAGACAAGCACAAGGAGCATACCCCAATAATGGAGGTGGCAGAGCTTCACCTAAAGCTTGACTGTTTGGTTTGGGGGGATACTGCAAGTCCAATACTCACATTTGAATAAAAGCTAGAAAATCAGTTTGCACTGAGGGCTGCTCGAAGTCTTGTGCCACTTGTTGGGGACTCTTTGTTCCCCTGTGCAGGAAGACAATGGTATATACAATGGTCTGGCCATGAGAGACCAACCACCCAAGAGTCAAAGAGCTGGTCCATCACCCCCGGGGGGATTCAGGAAGGACCAGCTTCCCTGATGGAGGAGGCAAAAGGAAACTTTAAGGCATTTGCCCACTGTAAGTGGAATATACCAAGTGTTGAGGAGTCAGGGAAGCTGCAAGATGAGCTCCCAACAACTACCACTGGCTGGTGTCTCTGTGTCGATCCTGGCATCCACAGTAGAAGCTTTCCCTGCAGACAGGGAATGGTTCAAACCTCTTGTAAGCAGGCTCTGCAGCAACCCAAGAGTTGGTTGCTGCAACATCAAGCCTCAGAGATGAGGAGCACGTGAAGGATTTAGCAGGACCTGACATCTAAAGGGTGGCTAAGGTAACTCTGTCAAAGGCTGGCTCCTCCATCCAAGGAGCCAAATGGCCCCCGGCAGGCTGCCCCAGGGGGACTTCTGGGTATACCACATAAATCTTCGACCTCATTAAAGCTCCAAAGACCACAGCATCCAGCTCCTGACCTTCTCCGGAGCAGAAAATGACAAAACACTTCCTGTTATTTATAGCAGCTGGAGAGCCTGATGGGAAAACCCCACTTGTGAAACACGGGCCGCTTGCCATGATTGCTCTGCAATGGTCAAGCTGCTCCGAACTCCTGCCCATGGACTGCTACATCCCTGAGGCCACTTCACCCCAGCTGAGAAGCTGCACAAGAGGAACACGTGTATGGATCACAGAATCATGGAATGGGTTGGGTTGGAAGGGACCTCCAAAGTTCATTTTGTCCAATCCACATGTAATGAGCAGGGACATCTTCAATTAGATCAGGATGCCAAGAACCACATCCAGCCTGACCTTGAATGTCTCCAGGGATGGGGCATCCAGCACCTCTCCAGGCAACCTGTGCCAGTTTTTCACCACTCTCATTGTAAGGAATTTCTTCATCACATCCAGGCTGAATCTCCCGTTTTAGTTTAAGACCATCACCCCTCGTCCTATCACAACAGGCCCTGCTAAAAGTCTCTCCCCATCTTTCTCATAGGCCCCTTTTAAGTACTCAAAGGCCACAATAAAGTGGCCTTCTCCAGGCTGAGCAACCCCATCTCTCTCAGCCTTCCTCATAGGAGAGGTGCTCCATCCCTCTGATCATTTCTGTGGCCTACCTCTGGACCCTCTCCAACAGGTCCATATCTTTCCTGTCCTGAGCACTCCAGAGCTGGATGCAGTACTCCATCAGGTCATGTTTGCACAGCACAACTTGAGTTAGGCAAGCTGAGCATCCCAAGAGAGGGGACTTCAGCTGTTTGGCTACAGGGACCTGGCATCCCTTGAGGTGCATCTCTCACCTCTATCAGTACCTCTCCTAAACGTGACTCCAAGGCTGACCTTACCTTGGAGGTGATTATCAGCTCTCTAGGAAAACTGAGGCACAGCCCCTTTGCCTACCTCCACTGGGTGCTATCCACCTCCTTAAAGCATGGTGAGACACGCACTGGCAGGTCTGTTTGTGGGCAGATGGATTTCCACCATCCTGGCACACACCAACGGTGCTTTCCAGCATGCTCAGTCAGGCCAGTGAGGAAACTCTGCAGTCCAAGGGAAGTTCTTCCTGCAATGGGACGGGCTTCACTGCGGGCTTGTTGGGCAAGAGCCTCCCAGCATTGGAGATGCTCAAGATGAGTGTTTGCTGTCGTGCTGTCAAGGAGCATTCCCAAAGCTTCTGTCTTGGGTTAGAGCCAGTGAGGGCTTTCTGCTCGTGTCCAGGTCAAGGGGAGTAAGCAGCTCATCATGAGCTGCTGGTGCTTTCCAGCCGTGGTAGGAGAAGGTGGTTCTGGAGCTTACCACAACGGCAGCTTTTCTCTATAGTGATAGGTCAAGGGGCGATGGGTTCCCACTGAAACAGGGGAAGTTCAGGCTGGAGATAAGGAAGAAGTTCTTTACTGTGATGGTGCTGAGGCACTGGAATAGGTTGCCCAGGGAAGCTGTGAATGCTCCATCCTTGGCAGTGTTCAAGGCCACATTGGACAGAGCCTTGGGTGACATGGTTTAGTGTGAGGTGTCTCTGCCCATGGCAGGGGGCGTTGGAACTGGATGATCTTAAGGTCCTTTCCAACCCAACCTATTCTATGATTCTGTGAAGTGCTGTGATGGAACCCATGGCCATGCACCAACCACTGCCCTGCTACAGACTACAACAAGCCACTGGGGCTTGTTGCCCACAGTAGGGCAACAGTGTCACAGAATCATTAGGGTTGCCCACAGTAGGGCAACAGTGTCACAGAATCATTAGGGTTGGAAGGGACCTCTGCAGATCATCTGTTTAATGAGCCTCGTCCTCTGAAGGTCATCAGGTCCAACCCCCCCTGCCAAGGTAGGGCCATCCAGAGCAGGTTACATAGGTATGTGCTTAGGAGGGTTGTGAATGTCTGCAGAGGGGGAGACTCCACAACCCCCCTGGGCAGCCTGTTCCAGTGCTCTGCCACCCTCAGTGTAATAAGTTCTTCCTCATGTTGAGGTTAAACTTGTTGTGTTCTAGTTTATGGCCCCTGCTCCTCGTCCTGTCACTGGGCACCACAATATGCCCAACTGCTGCATTGACCTATGTCTCCAATGCCAACGCAGCAGTCAGCAGCTGCTGAGATTTAGGATCATGCTCGGAGCAACACAGTCACACTCCTGTACTTCACCTTCATCATAAAGTTGTTGCTCCTGCCCAGGCAATGATGCTTAGCCATGACAGGATTCAGTCTGGGTTGGAAGGAACCTTTAAATATAATCTAGTTCCAACCCCCAGGCCATGAGCAGGGACATGCTCAACTACATCAACAGAGCCCATTTCAGCTCTTTCTCAAGGAGCTACCTGGTACCTGACTTCTTGGAGGGAGGGCTCCTCCTGTCCTTCTCTGCAACAGCTCCACTGCCAGCTTATCCCCACACTCATGTGGTCACTGTGGGGACTGAGACCCCGGCACAGCTCATCCTCAGCAACAAACCCCCAAAGCAGAGCCATGGCCAAGACCTTAGGGGCATCTCCGAAGGCCAGAGAGATCTTCTCTCATGGAGATCTCAGTCCTTGTGATGGACAAGGCGCTTCTAAACAGCCCCAAGCAGTTTGCCTGTAACTCCAGTTAATAACACTGTATTTTGTCAACAAGTTAGGTCAGCAGCAATTCGCAGGCTTCACACTGGTTAACCTTTTTCCACCAGACAAGCCCAGGGATATTTTGACTCCCTGCCCTTGAGAAGTTTATTTGTGTAGGACCCATCCACTTACCAGCTTCCGGCAATGGAAAGATGCACAAGGACAGTAACTGCTTTCTAATAGCTGGGGAAAGGCTTCACGGTTGTGGCTCCTCGGCACTGGAGCTAGAAAAGCAAAGCACCTGCCAAAGCTGCCTGAGAGAGTTCAAGAGGCTTGTAATTAGCTTGGGAGAGAAATGAGGGTGAGTGCAACAGTGCAGCTATCACCCCTAAATAAAACAAGATCTTCTGCAGAGAACCTGATATTATTCTTGATGGAGGCAAACACACAGACTGGGGTTATGGAGCTCCGAAAGAAGACTCAACAGAGAGGGCACACCACAGAAAGCCATCCCCACTTCCAGCCTTTTCCACATCCAGGGTGAGATAACCCAATACAAAACCAATCCAAGCATCCCCAGTGCCCTCCACTGCGCAGAACCACATCTCACCATCCGATGCTCCCAGTATGTTGAAGCACCAGCAGATACAAAGAGCAAGATCAATAAAATGGGCTACCTTAGCCTTTGCCTGACAAGGATTTGATGCCTTTCAGAAGAAGATCTCCCACATGTGGGATGCAACTTCCACCGCAGGACCACAGGATGCTGCATCTCACAGATGCTTCCGCTCCAGGTAGCCCAGAAACCTTCCCCATGATTTGAAAGGTTTGGCCAAAAGGGATTTGCCTGAGGCTCCCTGGGCTCTCCTGGCAAATGATTTACAGATGCTGCCTCTGGCTGGCGCGCTCTTCACCCAGACAGAACAAGCATCTGGTAGGCCCATTATTTCAGAGGCATTAGTGCCTCGCGTGGAGGGTGTGTTCTGGAGAGCCTGGAGATTTATTGTCCAGATATAAAGCTCTGCCTGAGCTCTGTCCTAGGAGCACCGTAAGGGAAAAGCAAAGAGTTTCTTCATACGAGAGCTTGCTTATCACAACTGCAATTATTTGCACACAGGAGGGCAAAGGCACCCCAGGGTGACATAAGGAGGTGACACGGGGCTGGCTCCAGGGGGTGCTGCCAATGAGGAGGAATGGCCAACCCGGAAAGGGGCAGAGAAAGCTTGTGCCTTTTAACAGCAGTTGGGATATTTTCCCCGGTACATTCCTCTCCTTCCAGTAATCTTGTGGGAGCCTGGGAAGACGGGTTGTGAAACACCATTCCTCCTCCTTGGACAAAGCAGCCCTGGATGGGGGCAGGACCAGTGACCATCACATTGCGAACGCCAAGACACCCATAATTAAACTGGGTGGTGAGGAGAAAGCCTTTCCCACCATATACCTCCACCCTGAGCTGGCTGGTCCCTGCAGCACAGTGGACACTGGAGCAAAAGGTACAGCATGCTCAGTAGGATGCAATATTTAGCTCTTCTTGGGGTTTGGGTTGAGGTCATGCATTGCCATCACTTTGGGCTGTATTTGCTCATGGACAGAATGTTAAATCCCCCAGGCTTCAGAGTAAATCCCAGTTCAGAGCACTACAGGGTCATAGAATCATTAGGGGTGGAAGGGCCCCTCTGGTGAGGTGAAACTTGTGCTTTAGTTTATGGCTGCTGCTCCTCATCCCATCACTGGGCGCCACTGAAAAGTCTGACACCCTCTTCTTGGCACCCACCTTGGAGATATTGATCTACATTGATAAGATTCCCTCTCAGTCTGCTCTTCTCCAGACTAAACAGGCCCAGCTCCAGCAGTCCTTCCTCATCAGAGAGATGCTCCAGACCCCTGAGGATCCCTGTGCCCTCCACTGGACCCTCTCCAATAGCTCCTTGTCTTTCTTGTACTAAGGAGCCCAGAACGGTGCTCCAGATATGTCCTCACCATTAGGACCACCTCCCTCAACCTCCTGCCACACTCCTTCCAGTGCACCCCAGAACAGCCTTGTAGAGTATTATCTACCAATACTCCCAGGTCCTTCTCAACTGAAGAACTCTCTAGTAGGTCAGCCCCAGCCTGTGCTGGTACTTGGGGTTCCTCCTCCATACACTTGCCCTTGTTGAACCTCATTAGGTTTCTCTCTGCTCAATTCTCCAGTCTATCAAGGCCCAAGAAGGCCACTAGCTGGAATAAAAGCCCAGTGGGATGCATTGCTTCCTGGGTGGCTCCTCCAGGCCAAGCAGGACCTTGTCAGGAGTACCTGACATCTCCATCCATCCCACAGGGGGCAGGACATCAGCTTGCATCTCACGAGCAGCTCATGAAGACACTGGTTACAGCCATGTGCTGGGCTGCTGGTGGTGCACATCTATGCCCTCACCCACTCCTGGTTCAATTAAAGCCACCAAACATTTTGGCATGAAAACCCTGCACCAAGCACATCCTACACTGGGCTCACTAACATCGGCCAGATGTGGTGCTCCTGCAGGTGCCACAGTGGCCACAAGCATGCAGGTGGCTTTACAGGGGGGAAACTGATAAAACCCACCAAGTTATGGGTCATTTCCATCAAACCAAGTCTTTTGGGCTGAGGAAAACTGAATCAAGCTGATCCTGGAGGCTTTACTGGGCTTGGGTGAGGCCCTGGGGCTGTAATGGTTTTATTTAGGGCGTGCAATAACCTTTGGCTCCTATTGTATTTGCGTTTGCCAGAAAGACAGTTGGTCTGGCTGGATTAAAGCCGGCCGTAATTACATGCCAATGCCTCCTCTGTAGCGAGGAGGGGCAAAAGGGAGAAAGAAAACCACATGTGCATCCCCACACACAGCACTTTGTGTGGAGACAGCCCCTTGCCCTCCCAGGAATCCGGCTTTAGCACTTTGGGAAGTTACTGACAACACAGTGCAAAAAAGGAGGAGAGATGTGGAAATGGCTCCTGGTGTCAAAATGTGTTTCATAAGCAACCAGCCATATCCCCTGAAGGACTCCCTCTGCTTTGCCCAGCCACCAACCCAATGAGAGCCTTCCCCGCTTCCCCAAAGGAACGTGCACAATTCAAACCAGATGCTCCAAAACGCCTGGTTGAAGACATTCCCTTTCATCTGGTAATTGCTGCTTCCGAGGAAGGAGATCTTAAAGTCCTAAAACCCTCTTGGATGATCCAGTCACCTATTTTTGTCCCTTTGGGGCTTCCAAGTATCACTGGTTTGGGCATCTGAGCCATGCTGCTGCTCCTCATCCCCTCTGTAGAGCAGTTAATAGCTGGCCTCAGCCTCCTTGCACTCGCGTCCCTGGGGCTGGTTTACCATCAGCCCCATGCAATCCCACTGCAAAGGGTGCCACGACACCACTGAGATGGGCACCGCTGCTCCACTATCGCTGGCTGGGCATGATGTAGGAAAGATAGCTTGAAGGGGTAGAAAAATAAGGTCCAAAAGGCAAAACTAAGATGTTATTTTCAGTAATAGCAGCAGTGACGCCTCCATCTGAAACCGCAGCAGAAGGAAATCCCCCTCCTCATACCCATAGCTGCTATGGGTATGCCCCCCTCAAAGGGTTCTGACTTATGCAAGGCTGAATTTAATTGAGGCCCATTTGCACTGAGGATTTCCTCCTGTCCTCTTCAGTCACTGCATTTCTAGCTTTGACAAATAAACAGCCAAGTCCTCAAACCTCAGGCTCTTTATTGCTTGTGGTTCCTTCCCCTTCATTTCTAAGAAATGAATAACAGGAGCAGAAGGTTGCAAAACACACACACTGGCCACCCCTGGCTTTAAATACAGCAGGAAATCAAATAAATGAGGCGAGAGGAATGAGGAAGATCGACTACAAGGAGAAAATGCCCAGCTGCACCCACCATAAGTGCTGGAAGCCATGGATGCTGATTTAGGCAGCGAGAAAACCCAATGCAAAGAGCAAAACCAGCAATATCACTGATGCAATGAACTCCTGTGCTGGGGCTGCAAAAGAGCCCACAGGCTGTTTGGAAAACACTAAGGATGAGAAGTGAATGCCCAATGCGATGTGTTAAACAACCAAGGCCTGGAGAAGAGGAGTTCAGGGTCAAAAATCACTTAATATGGCAAGATGTGATGGGATCTGCTGATTCCCTCCCAGTTATCTGCTGCTGATCCTCAGCACCGCATTAGCATCGCTCTCCCTGACAGCGGAGACAAGTGTTAGTGTGTTATACCAGCCAAGCAGCTTCACTGGAAACCATGACAGATGAGAATAATCCTGCTAATAACCGCAGGGCCCAGCTCCTCCTCAATGATGCCAATTTACATGTGGTTTAATAAGGGCATGGCACGACGGAAGGACACTGCAGGGGAATATCAAATCCTGCCTCAAATGGACACGCGCTGATGCAGTTGAGATTGGGCAGGGTGAAAAAAAACGTGAACAAATATAGGTTCTTAACGAAAGGAAAACTTGGAGGAAATAAGGAGCGGGTGAATGACAGCACCCAGAGTATATTTTTCGCACTATCCCTGGAGACATTCAGTGCCAGGTTGGATGTTGTTCTGGGCAACGTGATCTAGATGAAGATGTACCTACTTATTGAAAGAGTGTTGGACTAGATGAGCTTTGAAGGCCCCTTCCAACCCAAACTATTCCATGGTTCTGTGATTTCCTTCCATCAAAGGTATCAGCTGAGCTCTGCCTGTCAAGGAGAAGGTAGGGGTCCAAATTGGGATGGGCAAACCAGCACCAAGCCTCAAGCCCCCTTGGTAGGGTTTTAATCAAAAGATACTGCATCCTCGATGGTCCAACACAGCCAAAAGGGGATCAGTGGTAAAATACACATGTGTATGTTTTACTCGGATGAACTTAAGTGTTGTAAATCCAAGCAAAGGGCCTGGCACAGCCACGCACAGGAAACTCCTGCTTCAGAAGTCCAGGGCTGAGATTAGCACGAGATTAACGGGGCTGGAGTGTGAGTGGTTACACTGCTACCCAAGGGTGTCAAATGAAAGGAGAGGGAAGGGTGTTACTGAAGGCTGCATTAGGGATAAAACACCTCATCCTCTGCTATGCTAACATGGCTTTTGCATTGCAAATGCTAACAAAATTAGGTGATGGCTTCGAATCTGAGAACCTGTGTCAGCATGGAGGGTGGTCAGCATGTCCCTTCTGCAGGTTGGGACCATGCCTGGTGAGGATGTCAGAGGGAGCAGCATGGATTTTCCTCTGTCTGTGGGAGGACAAGCTGCAAACGGAGTCACTGGGGCTGTCTTCTCCACTGCAGGGATGGGGAAGCCTAGATGCCCTTACACCCATTCTCAACCAGGAGCACTGGGGTTATTTAGGTTGGCAGATCCAGGGCACTCGGTATAGCCTGCCAGAGAATAAACACCAGAGCAGGGAAAAAAGCCATCGGAGCTAAAAGCCAGTACACAAAGAACAAGGCCAAATGGGTACAAGTCATCCACAAATAAATTTAAGCTGGAAATGAGAGCAGTTTGCATCCGTGTGAGCAGCAAGGCTCTAGCAGCAGCTTTCCCGGAGGACTTGCCAGGGTCAAACGGCTCATTAGCTTTAAGAAGGAAGCTGGCAGGGGGGTTGCATTGCAGCTGCCTGTAACAGGAAGAGGGGGGGACCAGCCTTTAGACCAGCCAGAAATCAGTGGTGGCCTTGGGGTTTCATCATGATGTGAGCCTTTTGCCACAGCTTCCATCCCGCCTGTGCTGGTGGGGTACAGAGGGATGCAAACAGCATCTAGGAGAAAGGGAAGCTGCACAGGGAGGGGAAATAAAGAGGCACAGCTCCATTTTTCCAGCTGACAGGAGCTTAAACACCGGCTGGGATTTGGGCTCAGGGCCCTCCATGAAATTCCACTTGGCTCATCTTAAGACAGCGGCTCTACTCCCCGAGCACCCTACGAGCATTTCAATAATAGCAGGAGGAATCAGACCTACTCGTCAAGCGTGT